GCTTAAAGTACCAATTTTTGTCCTCAGTAGCTAGGAAAGTCGAAGGTTTATTTTTTTTAAGCAAAGATTTATTTCCATGTCTCTGTGTGAAGAATTGTACGGCTCTAACTTCAGCTTGTGGAGGCTTAATGATACAGATACTAGGTTTTTCATTAAGAGCTCTTTATTTCCACCCCTCCCAGTCTGCCTCTCTTTTGAGCATCCATTAATGTGTCTTAGCATGGGGCCAATTCCCAAACTCCTGGCTGGACTTGTCCTGCTGACTCTATGTGTGGAACACGGCTCATGCCAGCACTGGTCCTACGGCTTGCGTCCTGGAGGAAAGAGAAATGCTGAAACACTGGCTGAGTCTTTCCAAGAGGTAAGTTCTCTCAGCTTCAAATGACGTCTTAGTTTCTGTCCTTCCATCTGACTACAGGAAGCACTCGGCATGAGCCTCAGGGGCAGCGCTCTGTTCTCCACCCTATACCAGGGGAGACAAGTCTCACACAAATGTAGTCAGATGAGAACTAATGAAACAAAGAACAGCACAAATGCCAAGCAACTATCCCAAGTAGAGAACAGTAGGTCATACTTGAAATGTGTGAAATCGCCAGGGATTAGAAATAGTACGACGAAGCCAAGTTTTTCCTTAAAAATGTCCATAAAGAAATCAATCCTCAGCATCAGGAAAAAAGTATCAGCAGTATATTTTTGTAGTGTATAAGGAAGTTTCCTCATCAGGGAGGTACTGATTTCATGGACAGAGGCAGTTAAAGAAAGCAGCTAACGGACCGGGGAGATGGCTCAGTAGAATAAGCGCTTGCCTGGCAAACGCAAAGGTCTGAGTTCAATCCCTGGTTCTGCCAAAAAAAAAAAAAGAAAAAACAAAAAAGAAAGCAGCTAGAAACTGCTGGAGGCTGGAGCTAGCAAACTTCAGACGAGAAGCTAGTAGAGTGGCAAACGTGCTGGGCTTCGGTTCATGTCAATTAGATTGAGCATTAACACAGGGTACTTGGTTTTAGTACTTTGGTTATGTACAAAATGACTTTGGAGGGCTGGGTGAAGATGGAAAGGATAAAAGCCATTTATTTTAGTTGATTAATCAAGAAGTAACCTAGGGCTGAGAAGGGAAACTTAGACGGAGGAGCCTAAAGTCATTTAGTTTTCGTTCGAGTTTCCTTTTAGAGAAATATTAAGGAAGCTCCAGAAGCCACAGGTGATTTTTGAAGTAAATCTCATTGAACTCTGATAGTGAACTAGGATAGTAAAAGCTAGAAAGCAAAAGCCGGCCCTCTTTATAATTATGGAATCTTCAGTTTTGTGTGCTGCTTTTTCATGCAGTTCAAAGTACTTCACACTCGGGCTGGCCAAATAGCTCAACTGATTAAAGCGCCTGCAAGCAGGCACAGGGACCCCGGGCCTGCCGTGCTGCCCCTGCTCCCAGAACGCGCTGAAATGGCAACTGAGACTGGGTATGGTGGCACACGCCGCCGAGGCTGTACACAGGCAGATCACTATGAGTCTGATCTAGTAGTGAGACACGCCTGGGAGGCTGTACACAGGCAGATCACTATCAGTCTGATCTAGTAGTGAGACCCTGAACACCCTGTAGACCCCTCCCTAAAATACAAAAACAAAAAATCAAAAACGAAAAAAAGGGGGCTGGAGAGATGGCTTCCCTGGCAAGCGCAAGGGCCTGAGTTCAATTCCCGGTTCCGCAAAAAAACCCAAAAACAAACAAACAAACAAACAAAAACAACAAAAAAAAACCAAAAAAAAAAAGAAAAGGACTTCTCACTCATAAGGAGAGAACACAATCTCTCCTACTGTCTCCAGGCCTCACCCCATGCTGTGATGCCTGTTGGCGGATCCATGTCCTTGGAGTTCTCGTGTCAACCCTGCAGACTTCCCGGCCTGCCACTCAGCCCAACCAACTCTGGTCCTCCTCCTCCACCACAGTGCTAGAAGAGCAAAGTAGTGTTCTTTCTTAAAGGTGGCTTCCAAGAACCATACTCTTTTTCTTCAGATAGCCCAAGAGCTCGATCAACTGGCGGAACCTCAGCACCTCGAATGCACCCTCCACCGGCCTCGCTCTCCCCTCAGGGACCTGAAAGGAGCTCTGGTGAGTTGAAGTCATCTAGTGTAGATCAGGGGAGGCCCCAGGGGCCACTTTGCATGCTCATCTTCTAGCAACTGGCGACTCATCTTCCTGAAAGCTGGGACCCCCTCCTGGGGAGGTACATGACTTTCCCACTCATGGCTGGAAACTTTGTTAGGTTTAAGTAAAATCTCTCCATAATCTTCATCTATGAATCTGGCTCCAGGCTGTGAGGTGACCAACAGAACAAGCTTCCTCCCACTGATGTATTTGCTTCTCCATGAAGTCCCTGCACCCGCTCCATGATTGTCCTCCAAGGCTGATCTGTCTCTCCACTTGCTTCATCAACTGTTAAATGACGTGGTTTTCCAGGACACTAGGAAATGCAGAAACCAGAAATGTCTAGATTTGTTTATTCCTGCCTTGGATTAAAAACTTCTAAACTCATAAAGTTATAAATCACTTAGAGATTTGATTTTTAGTTGTCTCTTAGACTAAATTACTACTAAAGGATACTTAACTAATCTAATATGGGTTATTGGTGAAAAAATATTGAATGCTGAAATAAAATGTTGACTTCTACACCTGTGCTCTTTCTTGAGCTCCATGTTCTACTTATCTGCAGTGGTCAGAAGGCTGCAGATGGTTCATCGCCAGCTACGCCCCAGGAGCAGGGAAAGTCTGGGTCAGTCAGACATAAACTCGTAATTTTCTCCAGTGATTTCAACTTCCATACCCACAGGATGAAGACAAAAGGAGGGGGCAGACAATCTTTCCTTCCATTTTTAAATTTTGCTTACTCCCTGATAAAAACAATAAACAGTGATCCTTCCCAACGATGACATTATGAAGGAACAGAGGCAGGCTGGCTTAACTACAAACTAATTGATCAGATCACTTTCTTCCATCTCCGTCCACACATTGTCGTATCCTTAAATATCATGAATGTATATTTTTATTTTTATTGGGCAGCTTAAACACACAATATCATATATCTGCAGCACTTTCTAGTGAAAGGTAACAAACAGGCTTGCTCTTCCTAGATCTATATTTTTAAAAAGAAAATGTTGATAATGTAATGGAATTCAGTGAGTCAAGTAAACTTCAATATATTTGTAACTACATGTTTTTCAGGAAAGTCTGATTGAAGAGGAAACTGGGCAGAAAAAGATTTAAATCCACTGGGCCAGAAGGATCAACAACATTTGAGGGTAACATTGAAATCTGTGACCCCCTAGAATATCTAGAAATTGTGCGTATTTCTGAAATTCTTATGTCAATGTGCACGTCTTTCATAATAAAGTTCTGTGTCATGAGTAAAGTGATATAAACGTGATGTCTTTACTACCCCTGAGCTCTGAGGGGAAGGACACTGCCAGCCCTCCAAAGGGAGCCCCTCCTCACACGTGGAGAGGTGGCAGAAAGGAAGATGAGACAACACTAGTGTCTTCTGCTGACTTAGGGACAGCCCTCTGGCTCCACCCACCGTGGCCCTGCATCCCCAGGAGGGGAACAGGCATAAATCGACAAGAGAACCAGGCCAGGCAGAGCTGGTTTGGCTAATGACTATGGGATTACAACTTCATCTTTGACCACTCTATACAAGTTAGGGTAGAGCTGCACCCCGGGCTTCCTGCCACTTCCCTAGATTGTCCCCCAGCAACTTTGAAATAAGCTGGATACCCAGGGAGGCCCAGGGGATGGGATGGCCCAGGTTCCTGGCCCCAGGCTTTGAGACCATGATTTGTTCAAGTGATGCAAATTGATATTTGAGACATGGTCCATTTTCTCCTCTATAGCAAATACTTGTATGTACTTTAGAAGGTAAGGAGGCTATTTATTTATTTAGACAGGGTCACACTATCTTGAATTCCTAGTGCTCCTCCTGCCTCAGCCTCCCAGGTGCGGGGATTATAGGCGTGCATCACCATGCCTCACAAGAGGTTCATTTTTGCTCATGGTTTGGAGGATGCCATGTCCAAGCTCAGGAGGCCCACACCTGGAGACAGTCTTGTGCTTTGCTACAACTCAGCAGACGGCATTACATGGGGAAAGCACGTGCCAAGTGGTGAGGGGGGTATATGTCCCATGTGTGGCCTCCCAATACAATAACACACACTCATGAAATTAACCCAGTTCCCCAAAACCAAATCCACCTCCATGAGACAGGTATCCGTCCCTGGCACCATGACCTAATGATCTCCAACTTCAAAAAGTTTCTACTACCTCCACACTCCTATGTTGGGGTCCAAGCTTCCAGCATGTGTGCCCCTGGGGGACATAACACATCCAAATCACAGAAGGGACCGCGGTCTAAAAAGTGGTATTCACACGCCTGATCGATCTTGCAGGCGTTTCACATGAGAAAGAAAGGAGTGGGCAGTCCATTAGAGATGGGAACCTGCTGTCTCCATGGCCTTTGGCCAAACAGCGTCACTACCGTCATGCTCCACAAAGACCAACATCAGGACTTACGCACAGGGATTTTCACTAGCAATCCATGGGAAGCAGATACTGCGTCCTTATTAAAGTGAAGGAACTGAGGTCCACTCCACGGTCTGGTTGCACAGTCACTCTGCTGCCCTGGGGCAGGCAGCCAATGAGACTAGATCCTTGGAAGCTGGATTATTTTGTAATTGGAACTGAAGCAGGATACTGGGGCTCAGTGGTCAAACCAGCTTTGTTGGGGACCAGTTCACAGTGCTCCAGACACTACGACACCAATGTTTTCATTTATCCTCATAACCTCCAGGTGGCCATGAGATTTTTTGAAAAACTTAAATTTCAGATAACGTCTAGGCATCAAATTGGCATGGGATAGGTTCAGGCCTTTTTTCATCTTTGAATCAGATAAATGAAACCTCTTCACTCCCCACCTCCCTGCACTTCCAAGCCAGAGAGAAAGGGACCTATGCCAAGAAACTTGAGGAGACATCAGAACGTCTCCTCACCGTTGGGCAGAAAACTGTCCTGTTTTAATAGAAACACGTGCTTCTGCACCATACTGTATCTTCCAAGTATCTGCTCGTGAAGAATCCCTAAAATGGAATCCCCTAACTTGGGCACCCCTCCCACTTCACGAAAACCAGGCAGTGACGTGGTCCACGATCTGCTTATGGAACAAAAGCTGAACTGTATCATTTTATCAACCCATGCTTAGGAGTCAGGAGGACAGACTTTCATTTGCCACTCAGTAATCATTTATTTTTATAAAAACAATATAATTTACAGTCTTTACATTAATGAACATATTTTTAGGAAGACAACACATCCACTTAATTTACACATCCCTCTTGGAGCATCAGGTCAGGCCCTGCATCTGCAGCAATTGCCTTGGAGCCAGGCTTCCCCGAATTGGATTGAGAAGTTGCTCAGCAGGCACCCTAATGCCTGGCACAGGCTTGTTACGGCATCTGATGGTTTGTAACTTACACAGGTAAGTGTGGGGGGCATACTTGATTTCCAGGTGACCCCAACAACCAAGGAGAAGGCGATCAGAGAAAAGGGGGCCTTTACTAAGAAGTTAAACACTTCCCTGAATCTAAACTCACTTGGCATTGTGACCAAAATGGGGAGAGAGGAGGAGCGTGCAGGCTCTGAAGGTAAAGGACAGGGAAACACATCAACTGATGCATTCCATGAGATCAGTTCTTCAGTGGGGACGGCTTTACGTGATCCTGCAGCACAAAGAATGGCTTGAAAACATCATCTCAGCAAAAGTTTCAGCATCCTAGGAGGAGTCTAGAGAAAAACTGAGAAGCCCTGCCTGAGCTCAGCACTTAGAGACCCTGACACAGGAAGCAGCTCTGAGGGAGAGCTGCTCAAGGGGGATCCTGGACCCCAGAAGGTTCCCCAGGCCTATGATATGGATTCATTCAGGGCCCAAGTCACTTTCAGTTAACCAGTTGTTTGGGCGCCACACACACACACACACACACACACACACACACACACAATTATTGCTTCTAAAAGCTAATACCTTGCAGATGAATTAACACACCAGGACACTCTGTTCAACCCCCCCGCCACACACACACTTGCACAGAAGCCTGGGCCACGGCAACGCTGTGAACACAGACAGACACCACCCTCCTCCAACCTGACCCATTCCATCAGGGATTCTACTAAACACACTGATGCTACCAATTTTCCAAAGTTGTTGGGGCCAAGGAGATAGCTCAGTGACATTAGTACCTGCCTGACAAGCGCAAGGTCCTGGGTTCAATCCCTGGTACTAGAAAAATAAAAGTAAATTTTCCAAAGCTGAGCTTTCTCCAAGGTAGTGATTTCTCAGCTTTGGCCTAACATTGAAATAAAGGAGGGGGTGTGCAAGAACTATGATATTTGGCAATACTGTCCTTTTAGAACTTATGATAGGACGAGCTTAGGATGTGCTCTCTCCCCAGGTGACATTAATGTCAACCTAGGTTGGGACCAGCTCCTGTTCCCTCTATATTATTAGATACTAACTTCTTATATCTTTCTTATCTCAGCCTAAAGAGTTACAGTGAGTGAGGAAAGAAATAGAGCGCATCCATTAAATAAGCTGTTCTCAGAAAGCTGCAAGCTCAGACACCCAAGGCAAGACTGACAGGAGGGGAGAGAGAGCCAAGGGCTTTGCAGGCAAAGGTGAGCACTCAGGCCCCCACGGTGCAAGTTTCAACCAGCAAGACGGGAAATGAAGTGAGCCGGAGGGCCCCTGGGTGTGACAGGTCTTGAGGGAGCTATCAGTGAGGCAGAATTCTAAGGTTCATAGTTCACTAATATAACAGGAATAACAAACTAAACACATAGTAGATTTTAAAACACAGTTCCGTTTTTAATTTAAACAATAAATAACAGCAAATCTGAATAAAACTCTTCTACTTCAATGCACATCTTCCTAACTGTCCATGTTTGAAATCCAACTAGTTACAAAATCAAGGCATTTTTGGACAAAGGCTGGATGAGCGAGTCATTCATCTTCCAAGAGATGACTGAGTAGGTTGTGTGACAGAAGGGCTCTGGGAGGCTCTGAGGGACCAGCACCGGGCCTTTACCCTGTGGGAAGACTTGTTCCTTCCAGAGACTAAAATTGATAGCGCAACTCTGGGCCCCCCTGAGAGGCACCACTGTTTCTAATTTTAAACAACAGACTTTTAGCAGAAGGGAGTTTCCAAGGAAGACATCAGTCTGATCTTCCCAAGTCACACAGGGAAGGAAGGTGTGGTTATCAGAATGCCTAGACTGGAAGTCTAAGCACAGTGGGCCCGGCTGGTGAAAGCTGAGGACGCTGTAGTCCAAATGCCACTGTTTATAGGCTGCTGCAGACAATTACAGTAATTTGTGTCAAGATTGTAAAAAAAAAACGTGCTAGGTTCATTATTATACATTCACAAATTTTCTGATCTTAATCGTCAAGGTACAGGAGGCTCAGAGCACCAATCTGGGATTTAAAAAATGGAGATTCCAGTTCACAAACTGAAAGCCCTTGTACAGTTTTCTTTCTGACTCGCCTTTTCTTTTGGTTTGCTTACAAGCAGCAAGGAGTGAAGGAATTAAAGAAATAATCATGCAGCAAGGTTAAGGAAACCGGTTCCCAGGGGGCTGAAGAAGTTACTTGTTACAAAATCTTTATAGACTTAAGTTGTGTTGGTGGTAGCATTTTTTTCTCCCCTGTTCGCAATACCTGAGAAGCATCAGGGAGGAAGGCACAGACTTGGAAGGACTTCCTAAACGCTTTCACGCAACAGTGCCATGGTCACATGGGCACCTTCTGTGCTGCTGGAAAAAGCTGTCTCTGTCTGAGAGGTGGTGACACAGGTGTCCACAAACTGAAGATCCACCCACATGCACTCCCACAGTATGAGCCCTTGATATAAATTCTGTCTGGATTTTAAAATAAGCCACACCCTATCTGGAGGCACCTAGAGGGGAAAGACACTTGCATTTGGGGAAGAGCCAGCAAATGCAGGTTATCTCAAGCCTACCCACTGCCTGCTTTATCTGATGGACAGGCAGTGTGGCTGTGGCATTGGTGGATCTCCCTGTGGAGGAAATGACTGACTCTGGAGTCACTGTCATCTACGGCCCTACCTCCGCAATCTCTTAGTACAGCGGTGTCTTTGAACGCTGGGCTTCTCGCGCTATGCCCCCACCACGTCCTGAAGGGCTAGTACGAGGTCTGGTACTTAACCTCCAGTAAGAACTTCATCTATGTGTTCAATGGAAGAATTGAAAAAATATCCCAAAGACAGACAAGTCATCAGGTCACAGGGAGGGAGGGAAGAAAAGTAAAGAAGAATAAACCACCACCACAAACCAACCAACCAGAAACCAATATTCACAAAGGATCTAGCAATCTGGGAGATAATTTCAATGTCTTTCAATATTCCAGAGACTTCAGCAAGGAAAATACAAACCCTTTTCTTCCTCCTTCTCATCATCTACTATATCTAATGGGACCATAACAAGCTTCTTGGCAGGCTCCTCTTGGCTTCAGGACAGATATTCTATACAGATTTGTATCAAGCGTGATTCCCACAGTACCACCTCCCAGTGACATGAATCTCTCCGTGTCCTCTGTAATCTATTACCCAAAACACTACCTGGAGTTTCTTATGTTCAGACTGTTGACAGCTATTATTTTCATTAATGTGTTAAGGGAACCATAGAAAAAATATATTCTATTGCAAAAGGAATACAGCCAGGCACCTACGGCCTTCACTCCCCATCTCCTGCCATCTCAGGCCAGACTACTCGCTTACACTGTGCTGGGACCACAGGCGGGAGGTTTGGGATTTTTCTTTGTTGAATTTCTACTTTTCTATTGTAATGACAGTCTGACAAGTAGGGTGAGATAAATCCCTCTGGGCAGCCTGTTAAGTGACTTTTCAGAAGTAGTCCTGGGCACCAGGGAGACCTTCTTAATCTTTCTCTGCAGGGCTTAATTCCTTCCACTTAAAATCCTCTCCAATTCCTATTAGCACTCTCTCTGTTATAAATAACTGTGTAAAAGTGTATTCGAGGAGAACTGTACGTCCAGAACTAACCCCTACTCACATCCCAAATCACCTGAAGTAAAAAGTAAAAAGAGCATTGGCAGCGGCCTTAGAGAGCTCTGGATCTCACTCAGGCCTAGCAGAGAAGGAAAGGGCGGCAGTGTGAGGGCTCCTGGTTCACACAGCCCGTCCCAGGGGACACCACAACGGCCGAATGCAAGGTACTGACTGGCCCCATTTTGAAAAAGTGAGAGAAGGAAAGCTCAGAGAACTTAAGAGGATGCTTCGAGAGCAGTTGCAAAGTTAATAGGTGACGTGGCTGGGATTTGAAGCCAAACGGGTTTAATTAGAAGCAGGAATCAAGGTTTCTGTGTGACACTCCCCCGCCTATCACACTGTAGGTTTTCCTGGCTGGAGCAAAAAAGTAAGGATTCTAGGGCCACTTCTGAATACTCCTTCTAGGAGCGCTGTGCGGGGCCTGGCTCGGGGGTTCTCGCCTCCTCCACTCTTCGGATGAACTGGTGTGTGGCTCCTAACAAGGTGGGGGAGAAGCAAGGCACGCAGGCAGGAAGGCAGGCGCAGAGCCTCAAAGCTGAAACCTCTGTTCTCCTGACCTCGGGCGGGGGCAGGGAGACTGCTGGAGGCCCCTACTCGGACCTTGGCCATCAACACCTAAGCAGTATAGAGATACCCAGGGCTTTCCCAGTGTTGTTTCAACTAGGGCCAGCATTAAAGGGGCTGTCAGAGATGTCTTCTATGTGTTACCTGGGTGCAGCCCAAGTTAGCAAGTCGAGCTTTTAGTAAGAATCTGTACTACTACTTTCCCTGTGCAGCCTCTATTTCCTTATCTACAAAACAGAGGCCTTTAAAAGAAAAAAAAAAATCCTCTCCCCCATGACCTTTAAAGTACTTCTAGCTTAAAACATCTTTAACTTCATGCAGTTACTCACAATATGCAATACTTGGTCATCCAAAACATTCCACTTACTCTTCTGAGAGGAGTACTGCCATTACTGCCATTAGCAAGCAATCCAATTAAATCCATGATCAAAAGGAATAAATAATCAATGGGAAATATTGCACTGTATTCTCCAGGGTAAAATCAGGCTGCAGACAGAGGCTGCTGAGTCATCCGAATGGGATCTGGACAGAACGCTGTTAGCCGTGGACTCCTGGGTCTCGCATAGCCGGGGACTTCGGGGCAGTGCGGGCCTTGGGTGGGAGTGTGGCTGAGTTCAAGTCCCATCATTTTTCAGTGGTAACTGCTATTCATACCAGAAAGCAGCTGAGCTCCATTAAATACACATTTTTGCTTCGAAAGAGATGTAGTAGACAGGAAAGAAAGGCGCATGTGGGCTCCTCAAATGTACTTGGGATCCATCTCTTCCAAGAGGCTGGATGGGCTAAGGATGAGGAGGGAAGTCTCAAGTGCAGCATTTCAGATGCAAAGGACGGAGTCCATCCCGGAGTCAGTTACTGGGGCTGCACAAGAATGGGTCCGGACCTCTGCAGGTGCCAGTGACTGCAACAGGGGCTGAAAGACAGTCAGGGGCCATGGCCAGTTGTGAAATGCATGTGGGCTGGAGCAGATGCACACAGACCCAGACATTCATGAAAAAAAGCTTCCAGAAGAACAAGCCCAATTCTGAGCTGGTAAACACCCCATGTCAGGAAAGGCAGCTGGCAGAGAACCCGGGTCCTGAGGATGCGCTCCCAGGACGTGGGGTTTGGTCTACGGCTGTCCAAGGCACTCAGAGTTATAGGGCGAGAGCAAAGTTCTCATTGGGATCCAGGCTCAGAGGAGAGGATGCTTGACTTCCGGGTCTTTGGAGGTGGTGGGGGTGGGGCTTTGGCTTCTCTGCGGACAGGCAGGGGGGGTGCGATCTGTGGAGCATACATAGGAGATGAGAAAGGAACCGCCTCTTCCCAGTTCTGCCTCCTCCCTACTTCCCACGTGATGCTTCAGCTCCCAATCAATCTGCATTTATCTACACACCTGGCAAGGTGAAGACGTGCACCCGAGTGCTCCTGGGTCCCCTTCAACTGGTGTGTGTGTGTGTGTGTGT